GGGGATGCTCCCAAGAAATCGGTATTCACCACCCAGCCTTGCAGGAAACACTTGGGAACTTGCTGGGGTTGTTTACACCAGCTGTTTGCACCTGGTGAGCAAGGCGGTCGTCACAGCCTCCTCATCAATCAGGAGATCTGAGGCAAGAAGCCAGACGGGTATTAAAGCCAGCGTGAGAATGGCAAAGGAAGCCCCTAAGCCTGGCAGAATCCTCATTCCATTAGGTGGCATTATTCACAGCTTTGTGTCCCCAGGGAGGCCTGGGGGACTCTGCAGCCACCCCTCTACCTGCAGGGGTGCTGGGCACCCCCACTGTGCATGGCCACCTCCGTCAGTGGGTTCACACGCACCCTCTGCCATTAAGGATGCGTCAAGTCTTCGGATGCCTTTGTTGCGTCTTTCAGTCACTGTCCCATCAGGACAACTTCACATTTACCTTCTTCATCTCAAAATCCCTTCAAATCCTCTGGTAAGTAGGAAATAATGAACGTATAAATGCTCACTGTAGCTCCCACTGTGGCTGGCAGGATGCCTAGCCTATGGGCATTCCTTGAAAACAAATTTTCAAATGCACAAATGAAGACAGAGATGGATTTAGCCAATAACTACATCAACAAAGTTGTGCTAAGATCTACTGTGAGGCAGGCCCCATGCAGGGGATACAAAGAAAACGTAAGAGCGAGCAGCTGTCCTCCAGGGCTCTGCGGCCTGTTGGAGTCAGCAGCAGGGACCTTTCCCACTCACGGAATGTCCACGCACTTCTACACATTTTCCCGCGTCCTCACAGGCCGCTTCCAGCCAGCATGCTGGTGAGCAGAAGGGAGGGATGGCGCTCCTGGACTGGAGCGGCTCACAGCCGACATGGCGTCCGCGGGGCCTCCGTCGGTGTGGTCCTCCCATGGCTGTGGGAGCCTGAGCCCCCTGCCCTGCCACCAAGGACATGGAGCGTGAGCGAGGTCAGATAAACAACTTCGTGTTACGCACCTGAGATTTTAAGATTAATTTTTCACCCTGGCAGAGCCTCGTCTGTTCTAAGACTAGTAAACACACAGACAAGTCCAGCGATGAGAGAAGACAGTGAGAGGAGCAGATAACGCACCCCAAGCTTACTCGCACCTGCTGGTTTATGGGCCACCAGTCTCTGGTGTGGTGTCCCCTCTTCCTAGAGCCCTTCCCCCAGGTCTCTGTGTGCTGGTCCCTTCCTGTCACCCCAGGCTCAGCCACAATGTTACCACCTCAACAGGCCTTTCCCGACCACCGGACCAGAGCGCACAACCCCACACCACGGTCCCATGACCATTTTGCTTTCTCGCCCTCTGGGAGATGTTCCCACTCACTGTCTATCTTTCCCTTATTACGGCATAAGCACAGTGAGAGCAGGACCACGTCTTCCCTGTCGACGGCTGTGCTCCCAGAATCGTGCCTGGCACAAAGTGGGCACTCCACATCCAGGGGATGAACGAGTGAACGCGTGATCTGCACCCGAGGAGTTCAGAAGTGGGTGGGAGGAAACTCCCTGAGGGCTGAGTGTCCAGGAAAGGATGGGGGAGGCAGGCCTCTCGAGGTCCTTTAAAAGGAGGGTCACCGAGGGCTATTAGAGCGCTTCCAGCAGCCTAAGCACAGCACAGCAGTGGGAACACACAGGGTGATCTGGGGTGACCATGAGTGGCGTGGGTCGCCAGGGTGGTGGAGGACACTGGGAAGAAGGCGGCTGAGAGCCTCAAATGTTAGTTTATATTTGATCCAAGACCAAAAGGAAACTCTCTGTGGGGGCCGATGGGAGTGGTGCTCCCCTCCCCCAGCCCAGGGAGAAGGATTGAGAAAGACTGACTGGGTGGGATTTCCAAGCTAGAGGCCCAGAGAAAGGGGCTAAAGACAAGGGCACAGTCCTTAGGCTATGACAACAGCCCACACAGAGGTGACGACCTGTGGACAGGAAGGAGGAAAATGATGAAGGAAGGATCAATAAAATTCATTCCAGAAAAGCTCCCTGGTTTGCCCATTGCCACACATCGGGGGATGGGAGGGAGAAGGAGCCAGGCCCAGAGCTCAAAGTTTCCTTCCACCAGGCTCCCGAATTCAGTGGCCCTTCCATTATACAAAAGCACCTCTCTGAGCCCTCTGGGAACACCCGGTGTAGGGCAGACAAGGGCAGCCATCTGGGGAGGAGGCCCACGTGGGTTCCTGCACGGAGACCCAATACATCACTTCAATCCAGACAGTAAGAAACTCACATCAGCATCGCACAAAAGGTATCTGCATTTCAGAGGGAGAATCTGAGTGTGAACCTTAGTAAAATGAGGATATAATACTTCCCTTGCTGACCACACACAGTTTTTGTGAGGATGAATTGGGATAATGGAATTCTTTTAAGTCTAAAGCTGCTTTATGAGTATCACTATCACAAAGAACAAATTGTAGTTGCTAGAATTTCATCTCCTTTCCAGGGCACAGACTGGTTTCACAGCCAGGAGGAGCCTGAACTTTTTGGGTGAGGGAGGAAGTGCTATTAGAAACAATGGATGTAGCTTCACAGTGTGGCAAGTGTTTTCCAGCCCGATGCAAAGAGAATTTGCCCAGCCTTGTACACAGGAGGTAAATACTTGTTAATGAGGTTTGGACTGTGGGCCACACCAGCTTCTAGGCCTCGCACTCTCTAGAGTTGTGGAAGACAAGTGACATAAAGTAATGCAGATGAGTGGCAGGGAGATGTTTCTGCACCATCACTGGTTTCCTGCTCCTCTCTTCCTTCCTTTCTTCCTGCCCACACACTCAATAATCTCCTTTGCAATAGGCCTTCCCGCCTCTCTCTTCTCGGGGGCATCCTATGTCCCTGCTGGGACAGTTTTGCAAACATACAGCTCCAATCGCGTCACCCTCTTCAAAACCTCCCCAGTGGTGTGAGGTCAGAGCACTTGCGGGGGATGGGGAACGTTTCCTTCCTCTCCTGACGTCTCCCTGATGTGAAGGGAGAGGGCTTAGTCGTCAAGTCCTGCCTTGTCTCCCCTACCTCACTCATTTCCCTTCCTGGGGACAGAAGCTTATCTCATTGGTTCGTCTGGAAGATGACACTGGCATTCCTCATCTACCCTCTTCCTCTACCCTTCCTCTGGGAAGCCAAGAGCTGCAGGAAGCGGGTGTTCTTCTGGGCCTCCCCACCCCGTGTCCTAACACTTCCCAGGCTTCCCTGTCCTCCACTGCTGGCAAGGGAGTCTGTCTGTCATCTGGTACTGGGAAGCCTATCTGCCTCTCCTGTTAAGCTTCTTCCTCCCATGTAGCCTTTCTTAGCTTTAAAAGTGAAACCTTAGCTTTTGCCTACATCTGCCTTTGCCTTACTTCTCAGCCGGTTCAGAGATCAGGCCAGAAAGATGGGTACTTTTTATTGGATGACCCTTTGAGCTCCAGCAAACACTTTCTCCTTGTCTATGAAAATAAGCAGAGTTCTCAGCCTGGCATCCAAGGTCTTTCACTGAAAAATCAGCTCTCAGTTAATGCTCTGGGTCCAGCTCCCCCCTCCACTGTGCCCTGGACATGCCTCGGACCCAAAAGGAACTGCCACGCTGGGCTCCTCTCGCATCCTGGACACGCTTTGTGTTTTCCTTCTTCCATAGGCGGAGCTCTCGGCTCCTCCCCGGCACCAAAATTCTACCCGTTGTCATCGTCCAAGCCCAGCCCACGTGTAGTCCTCCACATGCCTTTCCTGCCCCTGAGGGATCTGATCTCGCCCTTTCATTCTGTTCCCTCTGCCAGGAACCTCTTGTCCTCCTGCTCGCTGCCTCCTCCCTCTACACCTGCCTGTGTGAATATCACTTATCTGTGAGCAATCCTTGTCTCAGGAGCCTCCCCTGAGCCCCCGGGAGTGTTGGAGGCTCCCCTTAAATGCTTCCATAGAATGCCACATACCACTAAACACACTGAAACAACATCCTCTGCTGACTTTTCTCAAGAAACTTATGAAGAGACACAGATAACATTTATAAACGTGCACACGCCTAAAGGGAGCAGAGCCTCCACTCCAGATGGCACCTTGCCTGTATCCACATAGAAACCAAAGTCGAGGCCCACTGTGAGTAGAGTCCAGGCCAGGGAAATGCACTGAAAGAATCCCTTTGACTGGAATTAGTGAAACCTTTCTGGAATTTTCTGATCCTCTAGGGAAGGCTCGCTTGAAGATGGGGTTATCCTATCAAGTGTCTAGCTTCTAACTGGTCAGTGAATTAAAGATATCGTATCATTAATTCAACTTTCCTGAGGTTAGTGAGAGGCTGACAGTCCTAGTGCCCAGATTCAACCAGGGAAAGAGGTGCATGCATCCAGGCCACCCAGGGTAAGTACCATGGGGAAAGGGTCTCAGCTCTCAGCCCTCCCCCACCTAATAAGCACAAATGCCAAAAAGTGGCGCTCCAGCAACAGCAGGTTGCCGCTCAAATGACACGGCTGAATACTGAGGCCACTGCATTTTTCTCACTGGCTTGAAGCTTGGGAAGTCTGATATGCCCCTTTGAAGTCTGCTCAGTGCGTGGGGAATGTGTGGATTTTCTGGGGGCTTGGCAATATGGGGATAGATAAGACCCTCCCAGGGCTCAAGTATCAAGAGCTTTCTCGACTCTGTAAACATTCCTGGGAAAGTGAGGAGGGCTGAAACTCCACGATTTGTAACAGGAAGTGTTGAACCTGTCTTGCCTCTAGGTTGGCTAAAAGGAAAAGACCCCGGGGATGCGTCTTAGGGGACCGTGAGGGAGTTCATCAACTTGGGCTGGAAGACAACTGATGCAGAATGTTCTAGGGAGGATTTCTGCCTGAGGGGAGGCCCTTAGCAGGCCCTGCGAGTACGGAACCACCGTACCGCCTCATTTCTCCAATTAAAACGCACTGTCTAAGGCATTTTGCCCCTGTTCCTTTTCTTCATTTTCGGTCACCACCACCAAAAACCTTGCGCACGTTGAACTGAGCGTGTTCAAGGGGGCCCAGGGAAGGCATGGGACTTGGTGACACAGTACCGATTTTGGTGAGCCACTCGGCCACTGCGCCGTAGATCTCGTCCAGGACGAGGATGACCACGAGGTTGATGATGACTGCTGTTGCTGTCACTGTCACCCGGACATTGGAGCGCGTGGACTTGTTGAGAGACAGGGCCGCAGCGGTCGTGATGCGGTACACAATGACCCCAAAGACAATGGAGAACGTCAGGGCAATCTGTTTGGGAAACAGGGAGAGTCAGAGCTCAGCAGACAAGTACTGAGCAGCTATTACTTGCTCAGCCAACGGTCCTAGTTGCTACATCAGGAACTATGGATCTGGAGTCCACTCGTGCACACCCTCTGAACTTGCGTGCCAATCCTGAGGACAGGTGCACTGTCCATGAGAGAGCGTCTTCCATTTTTATCAGAAGCCAAATGGTCGACAACACACACAAAACCCTAAGAATGAAAATGCAGGACACTGAGGTGTGCACAGCACACGTGACATGATTTCCTTCACTAGGGGACTGAACTCTTATTAAGCCACAGGGAGTAATAACGGAGAAGGTATTGCGTGCTCAGTGAAGGGACTGAGTACAGACGAGCAAGCGGATCAGGTGGAATAATGGGATAAACTGGGCTCTCAGTGAAGGGAAACAGGGAGCCACCGAAGGCGTCTGAGCTGAGAAGTGGTGAGTTAGAGCTTCAGGCGCTGGGTGCGGGAAGGCTGCCCAAAGGAGAATCAAGGGAGAGAAACCAGGAGTGAGATTTGTAGACTCTCGATCCTCAGGGTGAACAAAATATCACTCTAAGATTTCTCTACCAGGCACCTATAATGGAGGACTCGGAATTCTCATTTGGTGCCAAAATTTCTGGCTGTTTCGTTGAAAGGAAAGTTTACCAGTCACTGGACCTCTAAGGGTCCCCCACTTCCTCCTTCTAGAACTTAAGAATAATAAATCACTCTCCCAGACCAGCCCCTCTCGTCCCCCATCACAGCCCAGGCAGGCCTGTTTCCGTGAAGCACGAGGATGTCAGGGGAAGAAAGTGCTCTGAGTAAGCTCTCAGAGAGGGCAGAGGGAGGAGATGGAACTTCTGGGTATATAACCTGCTCAGAGCAAAATTCTAATTTGTTTCAGCCAAGCAGAGTGTTCTTTCTTAGAATTCTTTCCGCAGAGGAAGCTGTTCAGGTAGTATTCCCCCTGGGTCAGGGGATGGGGGGCTGGCACTGGCTGTGGAGAGCTACACACAAACATGGGGAGAAAAGGTTCCCTCTGAAACTACAAACTGTCCTGGACTATGTGTTCCCTCCCTAGAAAGAAGGGGAGGGGAGCAGAGGAGGGGAGGGGGCTCTGGCTCAGGCAATGCTTTGCATGCAGTGGGTAGGACACTGGTGGGCAAATGGGGAATGGGTTGCAGAGGAGTCAGGTATGCATGTTGTCAGACCTTGCAGGGGGGTGCCTGGGGATGCAACCTTAGCTGTTTATCCCTGTGTGCCTTACAGATATTAGGTATTTGCCCTCTGGGCCACTGTGTAAAAAAGAAGGCTTCCCTAAGGCAGGCAGGATGGCGATGTTTTCTGCGTAGAGGGGTGTCAGGGTGGACGAGAGGTTAGATGGGAAGGACACTGTATGGGAGACCCCTCTTCTGATGCAGGGTGGGGGTGGGCACAGCAGATGCCCCAGCCTCCAGTACTAGGGAGGAACGATGACCATGTAAGTTGGAAAACATGGACATGACCTCACCGCTCTCCCACAATGTAGACATTTTCACTTCCCATTCCTCTGGGATTGTCACTGCCAGACAGTAAGGGCCTGGAAAACATGGTGTGAGATTCTTTTCCCCCAAAATCACTTTTGCAGTGAAGGCCGGTGATGGCAGTATTCATGGGGTGGGGTAGGGAGGAGGCCAGGGCATCAAAGAGTGATTGTGTGTGCATTTGGGGGTAAACAACAATGGCAAAAACATCCTTGGCTTTGGGGTCTTGGGGGTGGAGCATGGAGGAATGAGTGGGGAGGAGATCAGCTTCTATTCTTATCCAAGAGGCCCAGCTGCTCAACTGGGGAAGGAAGAAAACTCTTCATTGTTACCCAGAGTGTGGTCTGTGGACCTGCTGTATCAGCCGGGAGCTTGGGGAACATGCAGGGTCTCAAGCACAGCTCCAGAAGCACAGGCTCAGAATCTGCCCTGGAACAAGATTCCCATTCAAGTTCTAGAGGCACTGCTCTTTTAAGAAAGCCCCTTTTCCCACCCTCCCTTCCTCCAAAGCACCCCTCCCCAGGCCTCTGCTACTGTTCTGTGCCATCCTAACTTCTCAACCCCTGATTTCCCATGCCACTATAGAAACCAGGCTCTGACCTGTCCTTCAGTGGCTCCCACAAGCCCCTCAAGGATCACAGTAGTCAAGCTGGAAGAGCCTGGAGAACACCAGCCCCATCAGGTGACCTTGCAGATGAGGAAACAGGCGTGGAAAGTGAAGTGATTTGCTCAAGGTCACAAGGCATGGACTACAACCATAGTCTCTGGGATTCTGGTAGGAGATAAAGGATTTCAGCCTTCAGGGATCATCCACATCCAGTCTCTAATCTCATATATAAGGAAACTGAGGCCTGAGAAGCAGCAATGTGATGGGTCCAAGGTCTGGGCAGTTCCTGGCAAAGCTGGGGTCCTAGCAGTGGTAACATCATCATGACCTAAACCACCTGTGCTCTCTCAATTTTGTTATTCAATGCCCATCTTCACGAGCACTAATCCTTATAACAATAGCATAAAACATGCCTCTTGTGGATGTGATGTACTGACCGTCCAGGATCTGAGCCCTGCTCTGTGGCTCCCACACCTACAATCCCATCCTGACATTAGAACGCAGGTCCTCTAGTACTAAATCCAGCACTGTTTTTACCACTCTAGCTGCAATGTTGATTTTGCTTATTAAATTCAACAAACATACGCTGGGTATATTTCATGTTTGTGATCAGTCTCCCCCCAAATAGGCCAAAAGGGGGCACTGGTCTTGTACAGCATTCTGTGCCTCATGCCATTTCACAGCAGTGCCTCGCTGTGGAACCTGCTTGGTAAAGACTTGCTGGTCCCTAGCTCTAGGAATCTAGCTCCCAAGGACATGGGAACATTATCATACTCCCCATTGCTTTTGGCGTTCTGCTCCTGTAGCTTTACTTGTGGACATAGCCAAACTGTAACGAAAGCCAGGCTATGGAGTCCAGAGTCCTATTCAACGCTATGAGAGACAGGAAGGAGAACGGGTCCTGTCCCCACCCTCCAAGTCTTGCATTCTGAATCAAAGTTGAGAAAATCATTGCACATATACAAGGATGAGCCTCGTAGCAGCTGGGCAGAGTACAGGCTCAGCTCATGTGCTTCCTATGCTCTGAGCAGAGAGTGGAGGGATTAGAGAAAAAGTGAAATAGTTTTGGGTCAGTTTCCTATGATAAGGGCTTGGGGAAAATGGAATTTTAAACAAGCAAGCAGAAGTGGACAAGTCAGAAGCAACCTGGGCTGAACCAGTGGGAGCGTACCCAGTCTAAAGCAGGGCATGGAATCAGTAGCTCCATTTTAGAGCATACACACACTAACGACTTCATCATTGACATAGTAAGTTGTCCCTGGCAACTTATTAATTAACTTATTTTCTCATTCAGCCATTTCTAAGATATGTCTTGAGTGCCCTCTATGTGCCAGTCACCATGCTAAGTGGTAGGGATATAGCAGTGAACAAATCACACAGGACCGCCTACCCTCGTGCCACTGATCTTCCAGTGGGGAAAGACAGACAACCAACTACCAAATAACATCAAACATATAGTATATCTGGTGTGATAAATACTATAGAAACAAATAAAGCAAAACAGGAGTATAGGGATAGGTTGCAGTTTACAATAGGGTGGTCAGGAAAGGCGTAGGTTAGGAGGTAACACTGTAGCAAGGCTCTCAAGGGGAAGTCTGAGGGAAGGGGCTTTTGGGCAGAGGGTGGCTAAGGGAGAAAGAAGGGGGAAGGTGGGGGAGGAGAGGAGGATGTAGGACAAGGATGTAGAAGGATGTACAGATAAGGATGTAGCATGAGGATGCTGGCTTCTAGCTCATGAGATACAGAGCCTTAAGAGAGTTTTGAGCAGAGAAGTGACATGATTTGATCTAGATTTTAAAAAGATGAGTTGGCCTATAATCTGTGGGGGCACAATTAGGAGGCCCTTGCAACAAGCCAGGTGAAGGAGGAGGGTTTCTGATGGCTGGTTCCCAATTCATAAGTAGAAGTAAATGACTGTCTTGGGCATGTGGGAGGGAAGCTCAGGCACCTAGCTTAGAGCAAGGACACTGCTTTTGATAATCTCCTCCCAAATAAAAAGAAAATGAAGCAAGTATAATTCAAAAAGGAAAGAAAGGGGCGACTGGGTGGCTCAGTTGGTTGAGCATTCAACTCTTGATTTCAGCTCAGGTCCTGATCCCAGGGTTGTGGGATCGAGCCCCGCCTTGAGCTCCACGCTCAGCGGGGACTCTGCTTGGGATTTTCTCTCTCCCTCTGCCCCCACCCACCCTGCTCACTCTCTCTCTGTCATTCGCTCTCAAAGAAATACATAAATCTCTAAAAAAAAAAAAAAAGGAAAGAAACTATAGCTCAAGACGTTGGGTTGGAAAAGAAAGAGAAAATTCACCATTGTCTATGCCGGCCTCTGTCACAGGGAAGAGGAACACAGCACTGGGCCATTGTTTTGTTCTCACCAGCCCATGAAAAATATCCCCAGCTGATCTGGCAGAGTGGCATCCCTAAAACCCTCCCCATGGCCATGACCTCAGCATCTTCTGCCAAGACCTAGTCACAGGGGGTGGAGGAGGAAAGGATATTCAGTACTCATGTGTGTTGCAGTAAGTGCCTTTGGCTTACCCTAATTCTATAAGCAAATCCCACTTCTTTATAAACACCACCATGACCCTTTATCTCCCACTCCAAACCTGATTCTAGGGCAGTGCCAAGCCCTTCTCTTTACAAGACTGAGGCGTTTTTTTAAAATGAAAAAAATGAGGAAAAGTTAGCACAAAATAATGATCTTTAAAAATCTGATAGGAGATTATATAATTTATTGTCCAACCTATAATACTTTTGAAAGTAAGATGGAGTGCTATTAATCCTTACCTCAGTCAACCTAAGAGCACCTGACTGAAAAGGGGTGATCTTTTTTTTTTTTTTTAAGATTTTATTTATTTGACACAGAGAGAGAG